ACCCTATCTACCCATATAATAGCTGCCTACTCAAAATCTTTTATTGTCCTGATGTGAAAAAGTTTTTTTTTTAATCAGATAGGCATGAAGACTAAAAATCATCGGACGCTTCAATTACTCTTTAGAGAAAAAAAAGAAAATGCCTACCTACCTACCCACTGTCTCTACCTTTGGGTAGGGTTTGGTCAAACCAAAATATTTTTAAGTGTGGCTTGACTTTTTTTTTGCAAGTGTCTCATCCTGCCTTTTTTTTACTCAAAACTCCTGTCCTGCCTATTTTTTTCAAATTTCATCCTAGCCCCCCCCTAAAAATCAAATGGTAGCTCCCTATATAACTTTTTTCAAATTAACTTGGATTTTAATAAAACTCTATCAATCATATATTGATCTTACAAAATGCAAGGTTATTTGGAAGGCAGGTTTATTGGTAACTGTAAATGTAAGGATTTATTTAAAAGGTAAAAAAGCAAGAATTTTCAGTTCGAGCTAAATTCGCAGCTATCTAAATCATATATTGATATTACAAAATGCCTGGTTATTAGTCCCCTACCGTCAAAGTCGAAGGGGACTTTAGGTTTGCACTCCGTCCGTCTGTCTGTCTGTCCATCCGTCAGTCTGGCAAATCAGTTTTCCAGACTTTTTTTCTTCGTGCTTGAAGATATTGATTTGGTTTTTGGTGTATTGTTTTATCATGACAAGTTACAGATCAAGTTCGAATTTTATTTATCAATTATTATGTCAATGATAGACTAGGATTGGTTTTTTTGTATATATGTATCTGCTACAGCATGGGAATTGTATAGGAAATACACATGTATTTAAATATATAGCCTACTACCTAAGATTTTTTTCTTACTAGATACAAAATAAAAGAGCCCACCCACCCTGACAGTTCACAAAAATTCGTACAGTAAGGCACCTCTCTAGTAGACTCGACCAACTGAGCTAAACAATACTTCACCAGAGCAGCTAATAGAGGACAGTTTTTTTTTCTTGTATGCAAGCCGAGGGGGGTGCTTGTGGCGCTAAACATATATATGTATGGTTTATCAATGCTTAGACTTTTTACATGTCCCATTCAAACTATGCATAGTTTGCACCTCCCTTATCAAAATCCTTGATCCACGTCTGGCAGAGGGAAGCAGTCAGGGGCGGATCCAGCCATTTATAAAAGGGGGGGGGGGGGGGGGTTCCTAACCCAGGATAAAGAGGGGGGGTTCCAACTATATGTCCCCATTCAAATGCATTGATCGTCAAAAAAGGGGGGTTCCAACCCCCGGAAGCCACCCCCCCCCCCCGGGATCCGCCACTGGCAGTGCTATAGTGTACAGTTTAACAGTGTTTACTGTACTCTTTAATTTCCACGATTACGAACCGACCTCAAGTCATAAAGCATATGAGGCACATCTGAAAACATTGACAAACGTCACATATTTCAAATATTCATGGCTATAGTTACAATATGACGACGAAAGAGATTTAAAAACTATTTCCAAAAGATTAACAATCGAAGCGATAAATTTTCAGTCCCATTTTTTTAATTTTTGGATACCCTCGGGACCTTTCAATGAACCTCATTCAAGTAAATATGTTCCGCGTGCGCTGTTCAGATTGGATAACTAGAATTCTGATTGGTTGAAAAAGTCACATGCAAAATCCTTCAGAAGTGAAACCTTATACGGGTAGTTGTTAGATCTTCGTATGTAGTATAACGTAGTATAACGAAATCCGAGATCTATATTTTAATTAGATTGTTAGATCTGGTGATCAATTTATTTGGCAATCGCCATTGGCAGTCAGCAGGGTTTAAGAACATCAGTTGTTCGACCTGTTAGTCAAATTCGTTTTGTTAAAATAGACTTTTTCACTTTTTTTGGTCTTTTGGAAATTGTTGTTTGTGCTTTAATTAGACCCCTCAACCAAGAAATTTGTTTTACATGCACACGTATAAAAATTGCGGATTTTATCCAACGCAATCATAGGTTTGAACGTTGTTTTCAATTTAGACTTTTATATATATATATATATTTGAACGTTGTTTTCAATTTAGACTTGTTTATATATATATATATATATATATATATATATATATATATATATATATAAACGCCTAAAAAGTGTACACAACAACACCAATAACAAAAAAGGAACTATAAATGTAATTATTTATAAATATTTCGGATAACAGATATCCTTCATCAGTAAATATGATAGTGATGTTGAATGAATCATATATCAGTCTACTTAAATTAAACTATAACAATCTTGAAATTTATTCAATAAAAAAGTCAAAAGACGCTTGCACAATTCTAAATATGTGTTAAACACGACATAGGTTATATGACTAATTACAGCAGAGAGTTCAAATATATGCTTTAAATAAAAATAATTAATAATAATAATTTATATTATATATTATACACGTCTATAAACATGTGACAACTTTATGAGGGGCGTAAAGGGGGGGGGGGGGTATCTGCACGAAAGAACGCGAATTAAAATTGCCATTTCACGATGAACGAACAATTAAAAATTTCTTGCACGTTGATCTTTTTACCGATTTCACGAAACACGGTGAATAACGAACCTTTTTCACGGCTGCACGTGAAATAAAAATGGCAAAACATATTGCACGAAAATAACCCTTTACCACCTTCCTTTATGACAGACATTCTCCATCGGATAACACGTGGTTATACAGGACTAGCACCATAATATATACTAGTATATAATTTGTCTCAAATTTAGCCCAACAATGTTACTAGTGGATCTTTAACGCAAATTTGAAGATCTAACATTGTTGGGCTAAATTTGAGACGAATCAGTATATATTTAAGAACATCAGTTGTTCGACCTGCTAATCAAATGCGTTTTGTTAAAATATACTTTTTCACTTTTTTGGTCTTTTGAAAATGTTGTTTGTGCTGTATTTAGACCCCCCTACCAAGAAATTTGTTTTGCATGCACACGTATAAAAATTGCGGTTTTTATCCAACGCAATCATAGGTTTGAACGTTGTTTTCAATTTAGACTTGTTTATATTTTTTCGTTTGGGCTTGATGTATTATATTTGCCTTCGGGTTTATATAATCCGTTCATCCTATTTCGACTCTTCAAAATTCAAGAATCAATCCTAAATTGAGGTAAATTAACTGGCCTTCCAAATACCGTTTCGATTCCTAACATCACTGAAGAGACATTAATTGTCGAAATCCGGATATGGTGTACAAAATTTTGCACCTCATGTTTGCGGTATACCATCTTTTCCGCAAGTTTATTGTTTTCTGTTTGGTATTAAATTTATAATTAAGATCCATTTTGTTACATCTGGTGATCCGTTTATTTGGCAATCCCTATGGCAGTCAGCAGGGTTTAAGAACATCCGTTGTTCGACCTGCTAGTCAAATGCGTTTTGTTAAAATATACTTTTTCACTTTTTTGGTCTTTTGGAAAATGTTGATTGTGCTGTATTTAGACCCCTCTACCAAGACATTAGTTTTGCATGCACACGTATAAAAATTGCGGAGTTCTTCAAATCATGAAACCCAAACACTTGTTATGAATATTCGATGAGTGATTTAAATCAACGTATGACATTTAAACAGCTTCTTCCAGAGAAGCTCAGGTTTATGATTTTGATGCTGAGTTGAAGCAAAGGAGGGTGGTTGAAGATCTCAATACTTTATAGTAGCGTACAGATACCAATTTGACGCGGTTGCGTATTTATACATCCAACCATGGAAGTATAATACTTCCATCATCCAACAGAGTCAAACGGAGACCGCTTTTAGCATGGTTTAAATGCTGGGCGGGATGTCCAGAGTGACCAAATTGTTGTGCTTGTCAGGTTTATTGTCGTTCACTATATAAATGTCTCTCTAACCATTAACGGGAAAGAAATTTGTTTACGGTTGGATTTGTTGATAATAATTTCACATCCGTAAAAATCGAATAACTGATATTCTGTTTTATTTCTCCAAATATTTAGAACAATTTGACAATAGTCCATGCTTTCTATTCATTTTTTTAAGAAACGGATGCCTGTAACATATTTTAATTGCTCATCAAGTTTCACACGTTTCTGTAAATTTTACTTTTCCAGTGAAGACTTCATCTTTTAATATTTACTGTGAAAGTTTTGTGTATATTTAGATATATATTTAGCTATGTTGAAAGACGTAAATAATGTCAAATCATAAAAATACAAATTCAGTTTAAGTCTCCAAGAAAACTTGTAAGATTTCCGCTGCTATTTTTGCTAAATGGGTGCAATTTGGGTACTGTGACTTTATATCAAATCTTGGACTAATATATAAATGTCATAAATGTATTAGTCCCAGATTAAATCATTACAAATAGAAATCAGAGACATATCATATGTCTCTGTAGAAATAAATTAGAAAACTTGACAATATTATGAATTCATTTCTTATCAAAATTTCATAGAATATTCGCCAATATTAGTTGTTTATTATGATACTTTTAAGACTTTTTTTAATTAGAATTTGACTATTGAATTTGACATTACACTGGGACTAATGTACACTGAGGATTTGAGGCCTTTGTATCACTTCTGGAACAAGGGAAGTAACTCTAAAAATTCAAACAAGATGTCTGCGCCCATGTAGAAAATATGAACATTTTCATTATTACCATTATTATATTTTCCACGTTGCTAGCATATTCTGTTTTTCTTAGAAGTTTCATATCCCCGAAGAAAATATTGAACGACATATCTTCACACGAAAATGTTTTTCAAAAGTTGCATACAAATGATATTTTGCATCCAATATCAAATGTGTATGAACAAATGTTTTCAGAAATGCTATATGAAAAAGTAGTTATTGTGTTAATTGATGCACTAAGAGTTGATTTTGCCGGAGGTAATCAAATGCCATTTCTTCAAAGTAGAAAAGAACTAGCTGGAATGAATTCATTTGTGGCCATAGTTAAACCTCCAACTGTAACATTACCAAGAATAAAGGTGTGTCTGGACATCATTTATACTGAGCATTTATACTCTTTCACAATCTTTTCTTAGGTCAATTTAACAGATACTTGTATATATATTGTAATTTCGCTTGTCAAGTTTACTGTCCCTAAAATTTGTTTTCCTAGCTCAGTCATGTCAGTTATATATTGACTTTATTGTCATATATGGGTAAAATTATGTAAACTTGTCCAATTTGCTACAGTACACTTGGTACAGGTAAACCAAATTAAGTTTTTAAATATCTGCATAGATGATACATTTACGATGTCACTATGCTTGTGTTATTACATCACAGTTAGAGTTGATAGTTAAATGATATTATTTACCCTGATTGACCAGAAAAATAGCCTTTTAATAAATTTTGTAGGGAAAAAAAGGATCCTAAAATCACACCTCCTCTTTGCATTAAATTTAGTAATGCCAAAATATTCAAATGATGAACAACAATAAAAGCGCTGTTCCATTGCTTTTTGTGTTTTTTGCTGTGCACATATGGATTTTGTGTCATGGATGAATACATACACCATATCCTTTCCTTTCTATTAAAAAATCTCTAAAGAGGACTGGATATTCTCTTTATCATAAATCCTGGTAGTCAGACTTTGAAGGGAATTGAACCAAGATTAACTTTGTGATATCTTTATTCCCCCAAAAGTGAAATTTTCTTTCAAATTTTGTATTAAAATCTGTCCTCAAATTAAGTACATTTATAAAGAGAGTTTATTTCCCTTTGGCATTCAAAATCTTACTTCTATTTTTTTTTTAAATTCATTTCTTGAATCATAATCTGATAGTGCTGGTTGGACAACAAAGCAACAAAGGGTAAATATGAGATTTGAAAAATATATATATATATATATATATCAATTTCTGAGTGGCAGGAATGAGCATAGCTGGGATAGGTAACTATTTTCAGCTTCTTGATATATGATGAGGTCGAGAATTTAAGATGAAATAAATGCATCAGCTATTTGTCAAATCTATTTTAAATTAATTCATGAAATAGTATAATCATGATAGCTATAGATATCATATCACAAGCTTGTTGGAAAAAATCTTTATATTTATAATGAATACTATTATATGTACATGTGTAGTCACATTTTTGTACTTCCAGCATTTACACTAATAAATAGTTCTGTTTAAATCAACAGATATACAAGGTAGCTTATCCTGACTCGTTGCTAACAAGTAATTAATCTCTAAACTGGTTTACCTATGGACCATATCTCAGATGGAAATGAATAGGAAGTGTGTCTATCATGTCTATTGATAAATATAATATACAAAATTACAAAATTATAGTAATGAGCTAACAATATTAAGCTCACTCTCTTTAAGACATCTGATATTTGATATATTATAACATTGCTCTCTTATGATTATTATAGTATTAATTAATGGGTGTTTTTATAATGGCCCTGTTATATGTCCAAGGTCTGTTTTAGTGGTTGAGTATACCCATAATGGCATGAGGCAATGTCATTACAGCCTCAGAGGCCATTATTACTGACCAAGGACAAATAACAGGGTCATTTTGAAAACACCCATTTCTTTAACACTTTTATTAACCAAACCGTCGATGTGTAATATTTAACCAAACCAAATCATTTTTTTTTGTGGTGAAATTGTATATATATAATTATGCCAAATGCAATATTAAAAAGAAATTTTAAAGTGATGTGATGGAATATTGTTTGATTTTGATTGATTTTTGGTGTTTTAACGCCACTTTTAAGCACCGCTTTTTGGCTATTTCGTGGCGGCCAGTTTTTATTGGTGGTGGAAGCCATAGTGCCAGGAGAAAACCACCGACCTTCGATAGGAAAACTGACAATCCTAGTCAATTAAGATTGGAATCGAGTGCAGCCGCACAAGCAGGGTTCGAACTCACAACCTCAGTGTTGACTGGCTAGTGATTACAGTAGTAACTACTTAGACCACTCGGCCACCGAGGCCCTATGTGATGGAATAACATGTAAATGTAAATAATATAGTTTTATTGTTGTCCTATTCAAAGCAATTTATGGCATACAAAGTACAAGGTTTCATTCTGTTTTTTTAAAACTCAAAATTAAATAAATTAATACACATCATGGAATGTATTATAAATTGACAACTGGGTCAAATAAGATAAGTCATGATTCTTGGAAACTTTCAATTTCTTGATGTTTCTTTTCCCTAGAAATGTATTTGAATTTATAACAACTGAAAATCCTTCATAGCCCTGATTATTCATAATGGTCCTGTTTTTTCATAATGGCCCTGTTTATTCATAATGGCCCTGTATTAATGCCCTGTTAGTCTGTAATGGACTAGTTTTGCTTTTATTAATAAAGGGGCTGTTTCATATATACATAAATTGATAATGCACTAAACTGGTTAATAATGTCTTATTATAGAAAAGAACTTGGAATAGTTGAGCATGAGATAATATTCAATTAATATTTTTGAAAATATTCTTAATTGAAATATCTTTTTTTGTTGTTTTGCATAGTCACAGTTTACAAAAGGTCTTCAACAGCAAGCTAATTAAAACTATTATTTCCTTAGAGGACTTAAGTAGCACAATTTTTTTTCTGGAAACAAATATATTGTACATGTTATGCCATGTTTTTGATAAATTTAGGGGTAGGGAAACTGAATCCGTTAACATCTCCTTCCAAATAAAAAGTTACAGAATGCCACTTAGCATCAAAGGTTTATGTGATTACATATAATAGTATATGTGTTGAACTGCTTTGTAGGCATTGACAACTGGCAGCATCCCAGGGTTTGTAGATGTAGTTATGAACTTTGGTTCTTCATCCTTGACAGAGGACAATGTCATGACACAAATGAAGCATCATGGGAAAAGGATGGTATTTTATGGAGATGACACATGGCTTAATCTATTTCCTGACCATTTTGTCAGATATGAAGGGACAACTTCATTCTTTGTAACTGACTATACAGAGGTTTGATTAATCATTATTTAGTTTTATTTACTACAATTATGTTTCAATATTCTCCATAGTAAGTTATCCCTGTCACAATTTAGCAGTTGTGAAGTTTAAAATCAGCATGAATAAAACACAGAAAACAACTGAAATTACCTTGTGAACTTTCTATGTAAATCAAATGAATTAACTAATACAAAATATGATATTGAAAGAAAATATATAGGAAAGAAACATCGATGAACATAAAAAAAAGTATAGCTTAGGGGGAGGGGGGTTGGTGTTAAGTTTTTTGGGAATCTGTATGCAAATTTGTTGAAAAAAAACCTATTAATTGATATATATTTTAAATGAAATGTATAGTTATGAAAAAATTTAACAAAAGCTTATATGCCTACTAAGTGTATATGGGCAAAAAAGATATGGCTTACAGTATACTTGATTCTTGACTTTATATTGTATGATTTATGTGAACTAAATATAACTCATTTGCATGATTACAGGTTGATAATAATGTGACACGTCACCTTGAAAAAGAGCTCTCTGAACTTGATTTTGAGGTGATGGTATTACACTATCTTGGACTTGACCACATAGGACACATAGCTGGTCCTTTCAGTCCACTCATAGGTCCAAAACTAAAAGAAATGGATGATATTATTAGAAACATTTATCAGGAATTGAGTAAGGTATTGTTTATATATCATAAAAGTCAATCAATCTATTGTACTATCATTTGAAACAATAGAGAGAGAAGATTACAAAAGGTTTTTATTTTTTTTATATGAACACATGTACTGGTTTTCTGCAGATTACAATAAATATTTCTCTTGAGATAACTGTTAATTCAGAAACATTCTACTAGTATATGTTTGATTATTACAGTAGTGGAAAAGGATAGGTTTGGAAACAATAAAAACTCGCATTTTAAATTTTGATACTGTATGCAACATTTCCTGAAATCTTAATAGTTGATCTCATATTTTTATACCCCCATTCTAGGAGATTATATTGAATTATATAGTTCCTTAGTCTGTTCGTCTAATAAGTATTTCTATCATACTCTTCTCAAAAAAAACTAAACATAATGACTTCATATTTGGTCAGCATTGCAGCTTGACAGTGATGAATCGTAATATGTGAGCACTTTTTGTTGTCAGATACCAACTTCCTCTTTGCAGATACTTTGATTTTTCAATATGATGAAAGAAAACATATATTTTTATCACGCTTTTCTCAGGAACCACAATATTTTTTACAAGAATTTGTCATCAAAAAAACAATTAAAATTTATTCAGTAATTGAATTTGTTCAAACATTAAATAAAATACTAGTATTAGAATAAAATGGTAGGCAATATTTCTTTCCCAGAAGGATGTACCCAGTTTAGTCATTGTTTGTGGTGATCATGGTATGAGTGACCAGGGTGGACATGGAGGAGCTACTGAGAGTGAGATAAAGGTACCAGTTATATTCCTTAGAACAGGAGTATTAAGTCCACAGAAGAAAAAGAGAGGTATTAATAGCAGGCGAATTGATAATTATCTACTTTCAACAAATGATTGATTTGTATTTAATGGGAATAAAAGAAGAATAAAAAAATATGTGACAACAAGACAGCAATGCAACAACAACACTGTAAAGCTTAGAAAAAACTTCAGGATTAACATAAAGACTTTAAAAAAATACAGATTTTCCATACTCATTGTCAAGCATCAGTTTTCCTTATCAAAACATGTTGTGAATTAATATAACAGTGCCTACTAAAGATCTGTAATAAACACTATACATCTCAATGACTGCAAAAGGCTTCTGGCTTTGAACAGGCAAATAAACATGTTCACTTTACTTATTGATTAGTTCATCTTAAAGGATTCTATATGAATAAAATCTTATTTTAAATTTCTACACTGAAAAACAAAGTAAATCTGGAGTCTGAAAGGATGGTGCATACAACTCAAATGTGATATTATATAAATAAGACATAGTTGAGAGGGTGATAGAGCAGATTGTTACCCCGAGAAAACATTGTCAACTGAGGCGAAGCCAAGGTTGACAATGTCTTTTCGAGGGGTAACAATCTGCTCTATCACCCTCTCAGGTATGTGTTATTTAATTTTATTATACTGAATGTTTTGTTATTACTGTCGTTCAAATTTCAAATTCAAAGTAATAAACTATGACGTCTTGTACATAACAACCATCCGTATTTAATAAAGCGCACACTTGATCAAGCGTCTCCATGAAGGGTACTAGAGTATTTGCCATAGGATAGAGTTGTATTTATTAAAGCGCACACTTGATCAAGCGTCTCACTGAAGGGTAATAGAGTAAATTAACACCCTCGTATTAGACAATCAAAATATGGCATTTAAACGTGAAGTATAATAAATATAAAATGTATGATGTCTTGTAATATAGTATTATTAACTGGCTGTTTCTGTATTGGCCCTGTTATAGATTCGAGGTTAGCTGTATTGGACCCGAGACTCGAAGAGTCGAGTGCCAAATTGGCAATACAGCTGATCGAGAATCTATAACAGGGCCAATACAGAAACAGCCAGTTCATAACACTTTTATTAAATGATTTTAATTCTTTTAATTAGAATAAACTTAGAAACTTACTGGAAGAAGATACAGCATTTCATACCTGAACTTGTCTTTTCGCATTCACATCCATGGATTTTTTGTCAACATTGTCAGATGTAATTTCTGATTTCTTGTCCAAGTACTTAATATTATGCTATTACTATTCATTTTATCTAGCAAATATAAAGTAGCTGGGAAGAATAAATCAGACAGTTTAACTATTCTTACTCTTGGATCGTCTGCGTTTTGATGATTGATCAACGGAAATGAAACAGTGTCAATAATCAAAAGTCGTACTCGAAAAGGCTGTGAAATATTTTCGTTTCAAGACTTCAAGACGCTACAAAACACTGAACATCATTTAAACTTTTTATTTTAGGATTTTAGTTCAAAAAATATAATACAAATGTTTTTTATGCATAACGATACGTCTAAAGTTAAGTAAGGCGTAAGAAAATTGAAACCGGAAGTGAACGTCCTGATGTTTTTTATGCATAACGATACGTCTAAAGTTAAGTGAGGCGTAAGAAAATTGAAACGGAAGTGAACGTCCTGTATTAGCCCATGGGCAAATACAGCTTTTTTTTCGTATTGGCCCTGTCTGAAAAGCAATATTAACTCTTGATTTATATCGACAGGGCCAGAAACTTAATTTGATTTGAGTACTAAAATGATTATATTTTTTACAGATATTCCTGATCGTGAAATTGAACAAATTGATTTAGCACCAACATTGTCCCTACTGTTAGGAACACCTATACCAAAGAATAATCTGGGAACTGTAGTAACAGATGTATTTACTGGTTATAATATACAGCAGAAGCTTGTAGCATTGATGGTCAATGGTCTCCAGGTATCAGAAGTTTTACAACATAATGTTGCAGACTATGAATTAGGTATAGTAAAAACAAACATTAGGGAAAGTGGGACAATTTTTCACTTAGAATTGACATGAAATGTTTATTTAAATCTTGTACAAAAATCTGAAAAGGAAACAGTTTTTTCTTATATTGCTTGTTTACTCAGGGCACTTCTCCAGCAATGAAACCTAACATCCGTAAAACTAGTTGAATGGATATAAAATATGGAAATGTCTTAAAATACAATTATACAAACAAATGCAATTGAACAAGCAAACAAGCAGTCTTTTTTTAATAGTTTACTTAAACTACACTAAAAAACATAACATATACATAATGAAATAATTTTTGTAATGTAAAATGATGGCTTCAACATGCTTAATATTTAAATTTTAAAGTTCTGTTAAGTTGTTTCATTCGATATTTACTGTACCCCTTGACAAAGACTAACAAAGATAATGAGTCTTTGTCAAATTTTTATTGATTTGTGCTTTTTTATACTTTGTTACTTTTTAACTTGGTAGTTTTATCATTGACTATTAGTTTATATTCAATATAATGTACTTGTTGTAATTCAGTTTTCCTACCTAAGGTCTGTGGTTCTCTCTTAGCACTCCAGCTTCCTCCACCATTAAAAACTGACTGCCACGAAATAGCCAATAGTGCTGAAAGTGGCGTTAAACACCAATCAATCAATCAATTGTATGACCCCACTTGAGCTATTGTACCAAGATAGAAATTGTTGTGCTGTTGTTGTTGTCTGGAGAAGGACACTTTGGTTTTCAGTTTCTTTACTTTTGTTCTAGTCGACAAATTCTTCAGAATTTGTAATTCTATATTCATTTGTACAAATTAAAAGATGGTTTATATTTTGAGAATTCTTGTTTCATTTATAGGGAATAACAGGGTCTGTATTTTTATATGGTTTGTCTCTTTGAATTCCTCAGTAGAATTTTGTTTTCTTAATTTTGCAAAAAAAATTTATGTGACTGATGGTTTTTTAGCTACAATAGACCAAGTATACTTTGTTTGATTCTGAATTTGATGGGAATTTGTCAAGCTTGATTCCTGTTTGCAAAGACTTTCAGATATGTTTGAAAAAGTAGGGTACATATCAGAAGAATGAATTGAAGAGGCAATTGTTTCGTCTCTTTATGCTTGCAATGGACTCATTATAGCAGTATTCACTTTTGGAAAAGAAAAAAAATATTGCCTTTGTTGCTCAGTGTCTATGCAATAAAACTAGTTGTATATAGTCAGTTAGGGGTCCATGAATAATATGTAGTCTTTGAACTGTTTATAAACATAAAACAATGTATAATACTTGTAGCGTTTAACATATATAAAATGTATAGTAATTGAAATGCATTTTGAATTGAATGCATGTTACTAATGAACTGGTAACATCTTTGGAAATATTGGGGGGGGGGGGGGGGGGGGGTAGGAGGGGGGATTTTAAGTCTTAGATTCAAATGTTTATCTACCTTTGTGTATGCCCTCAAGGTTCTAACAATCACACCTGCTGACATGAAAATTCAGGCACACTTGTCACCTGTTTACTTGTAATAAAAGTAGTTTAATTACCTGTAAATTGGCAAATGTCAAGTTTATCTGTCTGATAATTGTCTAACACTGATAAAGAATTTTAGTTATTACAGTAATCATAATTTTTTATACACACATTTTGACAGTTTCTGAAATAGTATTAAAATCAATAAAACAGTTTGTCTAAACAAATGTGTGAAAAAAAGTGAAGATTCAATTTAGTGTAGAAATAACACTTTGTTCTAAAAACATTTTGATGAAAATACTGTCATGTTGAATATTCTTTGGATGATGCAGATTAAAACTTAATTATGACCCTCCTTGAATAATATCCAACTAAACCCCATCACAAATGTAAACATTGTCTCTTTGCTTTTTGTGCAGAAATCATCTCTCTGTAGCTTTCATGGACAAAAAGGTTAAAAAAAAGTTCAGTATCTGTTTTTTGCAAAAAAAAAAATGCATGATGATTGTTTTCTGTTGTTTACTAGTAAACTCTTGCTCTGTTGGAGATTTATGACTGAGGTGTCAGATTCATAATATTTAAATTTTCTAGATCCATACAAGGATTTGTATAGTTAGATCTACCACTAAACAAATCCTTGATCCATACTTTGAGATTTAATTTTGTTTGAACTTTTTTTTAAATTTACAAGTATGGCTACAATTTAGAATGTTCTGCTACTCTTAAATTGATTACGATTTCAAGCTAATTTTGACCATCTGATTATAAACATTAAGTGTAACAGGGGTCTTTCACAAAAATATGTTTAAAGGTTTCACTTGTGAAATATTTCAGATAAAGGTTATCTGTTGTATACCAGAACACACAAATCATTTTTAACATGGATTAACAGCAACATGTCAATAGCTGTGAGTCTAGAACAAGGATTATCATTGAGGAAACAGTTTGAAGATTCTATAAGACTGATGTCATCAAAAGTGTCATCATCGATTACGCAGTATGACCTTTATGGATTGGTGGTTTCTATTGTTATGCTCTGGTTGGTAAGGATGTACATATACTGTAGATTGATTTGTTTACTAAATAATACATGATGGTTGGCGCCTTCAAACTTGTTTAACCCAGCCACATTCTGTATGTGCCTGTCCCAAGTCAGGAGCCTGTAATTATTACTTATTTACAATTCCATAATATTCCTATTCCATGTGAGAAATTAGCTGCAATTTTTAAACATCACTGAGACTCTTATGTGATTAGACTATAGGATTTTAATATGAAAAGTGATTATGAACATTCTAACTATGGATGCTGTCAAAAAGAAATATTTCTTGCAAAAAATAGTCGTTTTACTGTTCACTAAATTTTATTACAAAATAGAATCATGTGCATAACAGTGTAGCCGAGACCATTGATTGGCGCGCAAAAATATCCCATTGACTGGGTCAGATTAGGTGAACGTTCGTCTGTAACGCCCAAAACTCACGACTTATTTATTATAGACATTTAAACTGTGAGGTCACCAAAGGGTCTCAACGCCTAAATAAAATAATTCGAAAAAATAATCAGGAATAACCTTTGTGTTTTGATTTATATTGAATACTTACACTGAACTGCGGTCAAGCTTAGCGAAAGGTCGTGCAACATAATCAGTCAAACAAACTTTATTAGATTAACTCGTTAAGGAACGATCGTTTTCATTGGTCAATTCAAACCTTCGACCTCACACCTGCAAAAATAGAACACGCGTACTATAAAGCTGAATGGACTGATCAGTATTCACGTAGCCGATCAAGGTCGTTAAAAACTTCCATCGTCGTATTCCCGAACATGATTGTGTTCTTGATTATCGCATGGCAATTCTAGCTTTTATACATGTGCATGTAAAATTTTAAACTTTAATCTTAACAGTCACGTCGAAATATTTAATTCAACTGTCTCCTCTCAATTGGTCCTGGATTAAGGGAGCTACCATTTTATTTTGATTGGGGGTGAAGGACTTGGATGAAACATTTTGTCCTGCATTTTTTTTAGTTATTATCTCTGTCCTGTCTTTCTATTTTTCAGTCTGTTAGGTCCTGACTATATTTATTCGTTTATCCTGATTTTTTACATAAATCGTCATCCTGCCTTTTTTTTGTCAAGTTGGCCTTATCTTTTATTCAATGGACTTGATGAATTAACGTTGTACTTGAAATGAAACCGTACTTAACTACAAAAATAACCAAATTACATACTAAAGATATTGCTCGATTTTTATAGTAAATGGGTTTGTGTTATAAACTGTCATGTTCATTATTCATATTCTTTCATAAGTGATTTTTTTTCTGATTTAGTTTACTTGATTTTGAAAAAAAAATCCCGAAATTCTAAGTAAATTCAGAACATGTAACCAGCCATGCTTTGTTTAGAGAAAAAATGGAGATGGCAAACCATGGCACAGTGGAAGGAAATGTACTTTATTTACTCCAGCGATTTACTTTCTTAATTTATAATTAACTGTTTTGCTATCCTCGGTTGAAAATTATATATTGTAAATATTTAAATAGTTGCATAGAAAACAATCAGTTTTAAACAGTGTGGTTATTCAGTAAATGTATTGATAAAAGGTGACTCCATTTCTGAATGACCAAACGCTTAGCTTCTTTATTTTCGTTTTATAGCATGAAAACAATAAAAGAGGAATGTGCAACCCATCATAAATTTGAAATGGACCAGTATTATGAGATCCTTATTATAAGTAACTACGACATTGTCAGGATAATAACCTAGCGTCAATATGAAAGAAATTAAAGTGGTTCATACATTCATCCGTATAAAAGCGGCACATGTATTTTATTTTATCCTTATATTTTTCATAGTGCGGTACAAGTGCTGCATGCATAAAGAATATTACTTAACACAAATTATTAGTATAATATTTCGACCCCACTATTTGAAATTCACAAAATACTTATTTAATTATTTCGACCAAAAATCATTGTTTTTTACGTTCGTAGTAACGTAGTACATTCCATTGTCGGTCACCTGTGTCAATTCACGTGCACACAACAATGGTTGTTGTATTTAAATCTTTCGGCCAATGAAGTGAGACGTTACAAGTTGTTTGGTTGTGATACGCCAGAATGTTATCAATGAATTATCAATCGCTAAACTTGACTGCATTTCAGTGTAAATGTTCTTTACTTGTGTTTTCGTTATGTTTTGATAATCAATTTTTATGACATCGCACGTTCTTTCAACAAAAAAAAAAAAAAAAGGATTTAACTGGCTTTAAAAGTTACAATGCATGTGTTGATTATTATCTTTTTTTTCGGACGTCAAAGCGATTTAACAATTGCGGTTGCATGTCCAATTATGTCATCTTTTAACTTTTATCTGGTCAAAATTTTATTTTAGAACGAATGCATGATCAACTTTAAAAAGTGTGCGTACACAAAACATATAGACAAAATATACTTCTGTCCTGTCTTTTTCGTATTTGCAAGTTATTAGACAATAAAAAGGCTATTTGGATCAAGCCTTGTGGAATTTGCATTTACGTTTTTGAATAGGTAAAATGTATAGTTTGGTGAACTTTTCTGCTAACTACTATACTTGTGAAAAACCCTTGGCAACAGAAACATTTTCAGCTTTTTTTTTAATCGACCCAATTTACATAGTAATGGACTACTTCGTACATTTTATGATCGCAAATAAAATATGTATATAATATACTGTGCACTGTAGTTCGTATATATACTGAAACCCTTTGGCAACCCCACAGTTTAAATGTTTATAATAAATACGTCGTGAGTTGTGGGCGTTACAGACGAACGTTCACCTAATCTGACCCAGTCAATGGGATATTTTAGCGCGCCAATCAATGGTCTCGCCTACACTGTTTTGCACATGATTCTATCAAATTGTAAAAACACACACTTTACATTTCAAGCTCATTTAGGATAATAATTTTTGAAAAAGGGGGAAATGGCAATTAATGTCCAGTGTTCCAGCTTGAATCTCAGGGCAGAAGGGTGCTAGTCGTCTGAAAGGGCACTTTAGCACAATAACCCAGATTGTAAGGGCACTGTTGGACAGTGTATAAATTACCTTGCATATTGGTAGGCTCAGCTGGAGAACATTATAATTAGTTGTATATAAACCATATTCAGAAATTAATGTGTTCTTGATGTTGGTTCCAGTAAGAATTTTTTTATCAAATTATCATACCATGAAGCAAAGCATATCATTTTGATGTTAATCTTAGTCAAACTTGTTCATTTTATAAGGAAAATAATCATCATAAATTTCAATGTTTTATAACTTATACCAGTCTATAAAAATAAACAAGTAGTTTTGAAAGATGGAGTTATACATGCAAAATTGAATTTTTAATGTATTTAAATTATCTACATTTAAAAAACTTGTTCAGACATATAGTATATATGTTATTGAAAGTTACTTATTATCATTTAAATTATGACAAAAAAGTAAATTTAAGTGCACACCAAAGTGCCCCCAAGTAAGGAGTTTTAAATATATATAAAAGGTGTGACAGGAGATGATCATATTATATTGATATATTGGACCTTTATCGGGACTCCGGGATCGGGTGTTTTTAAGCTCAGGATTTCAGGATTGATCCTTTCGGGATCCGGGAATTCTTTTTTCGAATATCGGGACGTCGGGTTTTAAATTTTTTTAAATTCGGGACTTCGGGATTCCATGTTTTTAAGCCCGGGATTTTGGGATCAGGATCCCTCCTACCCCCCTCATTCTTACTAGCTCATATGACAAAAATCTTTTGTCACAAATTTCATTCTATATTAGCTCTGGTTCAGTTTGAATTAGTTTTGACTAAATAGTCTTTACCGGTAGATAGAAATACCATTTGTTGTCCTTCTAATATATCAATAATGTCAATATATATGTTCCTGCCTGGTCACAGTAAGAAGACAAGACAGAGAAAATGCTAAAAATGGTTTTATTGCCTTTCTAAAAATTATTCTAGAAATAGAGTTTTGTTTTGTTTGAGTAGACTACGAATCCTATTTCCATTGAATTATTTAGTCAAATTTGTAATAAGGTTGACAGAACATTGAATATTACAAATTGCACAAATTACAGAGTGTTTGTGTAAATCGGAATCAGACTAAGTGAAAAACATGTTGTTTTCCAGATTTTGTCAACATGCAAAAAAAAAGAATCCCAACAGACTTACCCTATTTTTAATAGAGACTAGAGACTGGAAGCAGACATATAATATATTTTTGGCCTTATCTTCTGAACTATCGAAAAAAATTATAGTTTTGAGTTATAAGTAAAGCAGGCGAGACATTTCAGCATTTCAGTACTCTTGTTTAAACATTTTTTACAGATTTTATTTACATTAGTCTCCATGGACAGACACAACAGACAAGAATGGTTTTCATGGCAGGCGTTCCTTATTGTATTGCTCATTGGTACATTTGGTCACATGACAGTTTGTACAAGTGATTGGATTCATAGTGACCTACTTTGTGATTCAACGGTCGCATCAAGAGGAATTCAGCTAAGCATGCTGGGAATATTTGCTGTGATGATGACCTGTGTTATATACTCAATTGTTGGTGGCTCTGTACTTATCACCTTATTTTCAACTTTTAAGGTATTAAAAGACAAGTATTAAGACAAATTTAAGAATGTTTTTTTGCCAATTTTATGTGCTTTCTATACAAATGTTCACCTATTTTGAAAGAATTCAATTAGTGATATATCAGAAAATAACAGAGATAAATGCATTATTTTGAATAACAGTTACAGTTTAACAAGCCAAAGTTGTATGCAAAATTTTACCAAAATCTGTGACATTGCCAATTTACTGTTCCTTGACCTTAATAAGCATTTTACAAATGTAATGAAGACTTTCATATTTTAAAGTGACAAATACAACATTTTTCATACAAATTAAAATCAAGTGAACTTAATTAAACACCTGTATACTGAACACTTTCAACCTAACTTTTATGAACTTTTCTCAAATTCTTCAAGCATTAATGATTTAAACGTGTTCTGAACCATGGGATTGATAATTTTGTACACAATCTATTACTCTTCTTTTAAATTTATTTATCAAATGTGGATAAATTATAATTAATTAGGTATTGTGGTAAAATTTACATATTACTGTAGACTTAAACATATAACATTGCTGCTGATATCCTAAAATATCTAGTAGTTGTATGAATTTTTTATGCCCCCGCCGTGGCGGAGGGGGCATTAAGTTTTACCCTTGTCCGTCTGTACGTCCGTATGTATGTCCCAAAATTGGTTTCCGTTCTCTAACTTTAGTTAACCTCAACCAAATGTTATGAAACTTATACACAATGCTTATTACCACAAAACACAGATCACGTTTGAATTTTGGTGGCGTCACTTTTACCTTTCTAGAGTTATGCCTCTTTACAAATGGAAAAATTGCTGAATTTTTCATTTCCATTCTCTAACTTTAGTTTGCCTCAACCAAATGTTATGAAACTTATACACAATAGTTATTACCACAAAACACAGATCAAGTTTGAATTTTGGTGCATCACTGTTACCGTCTTAGAGTTATGCCCATTTACAAATGGAAAAATTGCTGAATTTTTCATTTCCGTTCTCTAACTTTAGTTTGCCTCAACCAAATATTATGAAACTTATGCACAATGCTAATTACCACAAAACACAGATCAAGATCGAATTTTGGTGGCGTCACTTTTACCTGTCTAGAGTTATGCCCCTTTACAAATGGAAAAATTGCTGAATTTTTCGTTTCTTTTCACTCACTTAAGTTTGCCTCAATTAAATGTTATGAAACGTATACACAATGCTTATTACCACAAAACTCAGATCAAGTACAAATTAAGGTAGCGTCACGTTTACAGTTCTTGAGTTATGTACCTTTTTAACGTTATATGCAAGCGGGGGCATCATCTGTGTCCCATGGACACATTCCCCATTTATTTTAATTTATGAAGCTCTTTTGTCAACATATAAATGTCTCCTAGTAAAGAAAATACAACCATCACCAGAATATTTCAGTTAATAATATCTAAAAATGAAAAAATACTTTTAAACATATTGATAAAGTATACCCTTCCAAAAATATATATTTTGATTATGGGGTCAACAGGTTAAAGGTCACTGTTTCTGAAACAAGAATTTTGTTTTTTAAAGTTGTATTGGGGAAGGTATCCCACTATGAATGTTAACACATATGTACAGGGTGAAAATTAGCAATACTAGTACATGTTTATTTGTCCCTCAAAGCATACTAGTATTTTAAACTCTTGAAAAACATGTTTTCTCTAAATAAATGTGCAGTTCTGGGAGCATCAGTTGCCAGTATCAGCTTTTTAATTGTTTGCATGTTTTTTTTTGTATAAATCAGGCTCTGGCTTTTCTTGTTTGAATTTATTCACATTTTGTCATGCTTGTACTTCTTATAACTTACTGTTTTGCTCATTGTTGAAGGCTGCAGTGACGTATAGTTGCTTGCATCCATGTCCTTTGGTCTCGTGTGGATAGTTGTTTCATTGACAATCATACAACATCTTATTATTATTTTAATTTATAAAAAATACAGAATTTAAAGAATTTTTAGTGAAATTTGATGACACATTTTTTTTTTTTATTTCAGATTAGGTGAAGTATATTCACACTGCAAATAATTTTCATTTATAAATGAAAACTCAAAAGAGTAAATAAATGTTTTATGATTAAAAATTCAGTGTTTAATGATTTGACAAAATAGATATATATGGAATACAAACAAACCAAAAATCCTGTTAAAACACACATCGCATTTAGTTAGTACCTAATACAGAAATATATATATTGTATTTGATTAGATAAAAACACAGTTAGCAAAATCAATATTCCAATGTTTGTTTCAGGCAATTTGCAGAGGAGGAAGTATATCTATATTGTTAAAGACTGGTACAGTTATACACACCTTAAGTTTATTATCTAGCAGTTTTGTAGAAGAGGAACATCAAACATGGTATTTTTTCATAGTAACCATTCATATTCTGATTATTAAAAATATGTTTGAACAGATTTTTCAGTCAAAACATGACAAAAATTTAAACACTTCTCAAAAAGAGAGCAGTCAATATGAAACTGAACCTGTTAAATATGACCTAAAAAGAGATTCATTGAAAGAATACCAGTTGCTGAATAATGATAATAATGTGGAGAGAGATTTTAGAGAAATCCAGCTGCTCCATTCCAAAATATACCATAATAAAAACAGTTGTATCAACGAAAAGCAAGTATGTATATCAAGGAAAGATCCCATTCCATCAAGGAGAAATATTGCCATGGTGATAGTGGTCTTGTGTTTGTGTCGTCTGATGAGAAGTTGGAACCAGACTGGAAATAAATGGCTGAACAATCCTGACATTGGTGATTGGTTGATCAGGTCGTATTATTATTTTTATATTAAAATATGTCTCTGTTACAAATTCATATCACCAAGCTTGGTCATATCTATAAATTCAGACAATTTTGCTTCATTTTAAAGATTGAAAAAACGTGACAGGATTATTGTCAGACTGATAAACTTTCAATTTAAATTCTGACAGCATTATTTTAAGATTGTCTAAAAGCATCAGAATGAATGCAATTGTTAACATGTTGTTCCCTTACCAAAGAAAGCTTGCATCAATTTACTTCCAACTTCATATTATTATAAAAATAAGGAGATGTGATATGATTGCCAATGAGACAACTATCCACCAAAGTTCAAATGAATTGGATGTAAGCAATTATAGACAACCTCACAGCCTTCAACAATGAGAAAAACCCATACCCTATAGTTGGTTATTTAAGGCCCCGACATGAAAAATATGAAATAATTCAATTGAGAAAACTAACGGCCTAACTTATAATAAAACACTTTACAAAAAACAAATATGACAGACATGAACCAACGAAAACCACTGAACAACAGGCTCCTGACTTAGGACAGGCACATAAAGAATATGGCAGGGATAAACGTGCGTGAGCGCTCACCCTCCCCATTCCTGGTACAGTGGTGTTACAGCAAAACAAGAATAAACTATTAAAATCAGTTGAAAAGGGCTTAACTTATCAGATCAATACAAAGCAGAAAACATCTAACAAAAACACAGACTGGACATAGCAGGGTATTTATACATCCCTAACAACAAAAAAGACACAAATTATTGTTTGGATTAATGAAAAAAGCTCTCATTTGATTTTGATAATTTTCTGATTTTTTATTCCAGAGTTATGGGACTTTAACCATCATATTTTAAAAAGCAATTTTTCACGTGTGGTGCCCAAGCTCAAATTTGCTTGGATCAATTTACTTCAAACTTGACATTGTTGCAGGAATTGCTGAAAAAAATCTTCTTTTGAATTTGAAAATTTTTGGTTTCGCTTTTATAAAGTTATGGGGCTTTAACCATTTTTAAAGAAAATTTTATACGCCTAAGCCTAAGGATATCCACTACAATACAATATTCCATTTCATTCTTGCAACAATTTCAAAAGGCATACAATGGGCATATTGCTTCTTGCATAGCTGAATTTTTATAGTAAACAATCAGTGCCCTAAATAATTTGAATGATTGCGCTGAAGTGCTGTTTCTGTTAACTAGCACCCTTCTACCCCAAGATTCAAGCTGGAACACTGTATACATTATCCCTGCTTTGGAAGTTTTCTGATAGAATTTTCATTAACCCCCTGTAATATTGATTTATATTATCAAACAAGGTACTTTTGACATGCATTTTTATGCTCCCGCTGTAGGCAACGGGCATTAAGTGTTACCCTTGACCATCTGTCCTTCTGTCTGTCTTTTTTCCGTCCATCCCATTTTCGTTTCCGCACTCTAACTTTGGTTTTCCAAATTTTATGAAACTCATACACAATGCTAAGAACGAAAACTTGCAGACAAAGTTTGAATTTGGGAAGCAAGTCACTTACTGTTCTAGAGTTATGCCCCTCTTAAATGTGGAAAATTGCAAAGCTTGAGCGGGGGCATTCATGTCCTCATACACATTCTTCTTTTATTTTATATGAATATTATACAATTTTACAATTTCTTTTATTCTGATCAGTATATTTATTTTAGTTAATTATATATGTAATGTATCTTTATTACAGACCAGAGAATGTATATTTGTTGTCAGTTATAGTGGCTGTGTCCATATTAGTAGTGTTCCTGTGTAAAATGATGTGGATGAGTATTGTACAACAGTTTATCTATAGTATAGGACTAGTGTGTGTCTATCTTCACAAATCTGCCAATGGATCCCTAGTTCAGATTTTATCTCCGTCCGATAAGTAAGTTATTTGATCTATCTTAAGTCATTAGTAATTTATAGATATGAGTTCTACCACACAATCCTGTTGATTACAATACTCATCCACTAGAGATAGTTTAAGTTATATTTTCAAACTTCAAAATGCAAGAATTTCAGAGCATTTTAGACTTTTAATATTTAGGTATTGAGAATGGTTAAATATAATGTTGGTGCAAACTAAAAGGATTCTGTATCAGGAATGCATAACAAACTTTAATAAAATTGATGTTAGACAAGCCATTATTTGCAAATAGATAAATTAATTGTAAATAATAAATTTTTCACAAAACTCAAGTAATGTCTTTTTCAATGACATAACAACTACATTTATCATGACATCATGGATCATAAACTAACTGTTTTTGATCTTGCAATAACCTCATCATTAAAAGAAGCATAATGTGAAAGTACTTTGTGGGTATCAATGTTTGTGGTAACGTAAATATGTAGATATCAGTTTCTTGAATTAAAATCCAATGAACATTATGCACGACAGCCATTAGATAATATTGTTCATATGACAAATAGCTTTGTCACAGTTTTTGTCTAATTATTTCATATTTGTTAAACTAACAATTTTTTTCAAACTATTAGCTTGTTGCATTGTCTAGTTAATATTTTCATAGAAACCACTTAATTTTGCAATCTGTCTATCTTAACTAAATTATGGGTAGAAACTAAATTATGATGTCTGGAGCAGCAAAACTTTAAAAGTTGTGAATGAATAATTTTCGGCATTATATGTTTATACCATGTCACTTTAATATCTTTATGTAGACATGTACCAAAGCAGATGATGGAAATATTATTTAATATGATGTTACTTTTATTTTTTACAGAAATGGATGTTTAGAAGCACAGATAGTGTACATATCTTTACTGTTGTACATTTTAGTATCGGTGTGGAAAAAATTTCAACAAGACAAAGAAAAATATTATAAAATTTCTTCTGAAGTACATACAGCATTTATTTTATTACTGCTGGTTTTGTCTAGACCTCATAACATTATATTGGTTGCCATGATGGTTGTACAAGATCTTTTGATAGAGTTGTATATCTGGCCAACTTTAAACAAAAATTCTATATCTGACTGGACTTTATATTTTCTCTGGATGGGCCAAGGAACATTTTTTTATCAGGTAAATTTCATTTACTATAGTGTAAAATATCATTACCCCAGAATGGGTTGCATTACCAATATCACACTTATTAAAACGATAAGAGATTATTAACAGTATCAAGTAAGTCACATGATATTTAAATAAAACTACCAGTATGTCTGCTGATGGCAAACTGGTTTTTATTTGCTTGTCATAGACGGGATGTATTAGGGTATACCATTATCCGCCTGTCTGTCAACACTTTAAATAATATCAAATTTGCTTTAACCGATTCTCATTTCATTTAAACACAACATTAGGATTGACAGAAGAAAACTCACTTTCGATTTTGAATATTTTTGGCTTTGTCATTCAAGAGTTAAGGAACTTGAACTGTTAAGATTTAAGGCATTTTTTCACATATTGCATATTAACTGCAGTATGCCTGGATTGATTTCCTCAAAGCTTTACAATATTGTTAGAATTGATAAAAGGAAGATTTCTTTTTTATTTGGCCCCGCTGTCACCGGAGGGGGCATTAAGTGTTACCCTTGTCCGTCCGTCTGCCATCCCAAAATTAGTTTTCGTTCTCTGATTTTAGTCTACCTTAACCAAATATTATGAAACTTATACACCATGCTTATCACCACAAAACACAGATCAAGTTCGAATGTGGGTGGCTTCACTTTTACTGTTTTGGAGTTATGTCCCTTTATATATGGAAAAATTGTTGAAATTTTCGTTTCTGTTCACTAACTAAATAGTTTGCCTCAACCAAATGTTATGAAACTTATACACAATGCTTATTACCACAAAACACAGATCCAATTTGGGTGGTGTCACTTTTACCGTTCTCAAGTTATGCCCCTTTATAACATTATATGCAAGCGGGGGCATCATCTGTGTCCCATGGACACATTGTCCAATTATTTAATTTTTTTTGTTAAATTCAATGGGACTTTAACTGCCAGATTAAACTAAATTTTTCACATGTTGTACCATATCTTGAGTTTGCTTAGATTGGTTTTTCTTGAAACTTTACATAATTGTTGGAATTGGTAAACATAACACAACATTTAATTTTTTTAAAACTGCTATATGTTATTCCAGAGTTATGGGACTTTGACCATCAGATAAATAAAAGTCATTTTTTAAAATATCTCTAGTATGTTTTAATCAAATAAAATGAAGACTCACTTTTGATTTTTAAAATTTATTGGTATGTCATTCCAGAGTTATGGGACTTGTTACACTCATATTTGATGCAATAGTTATACCCCTATTAGGGTATCCTCAATCATGCATGTTTTTCTACAAAGCCATTGTATTTGCTTTTGATTGAATGCCTTCTAAACATTCCATTTTATTATTTCAACATTTTCAATATGAACAGGGCCTAACATGCGCTCTTGGTGCAGCTGCTTCTTGTTCTATTTATATGATGATTTCATTAACAATCACCTTAGCACTATATTATTTAATATGCATAAGTTTTGTAAGATGTTATCCTGGATTAAAAGGATAAAATTAACAACAAGAATTTAGCTATTAAATGTTACATCAACTAGTATTACCAATAACTAATATATAGTTTTAAATTGTTTTATTCTAATTATTTGTAGGGAAATTCTAACAGCATTTCTACGGTGGATGTGTCAGCAGGTTACATTGGTCTCCATGATTACCAACCTATTATAGTGGGATGCTTGTTGACCGTGTCATCATATGGTGGAATTATTTTCTGGATGTTGTCATTGTTAAAACTTATGTATTTGAAAAGTCATCATTCTAAAGACAAAGACAATAAGTCAACAATTAGAAGGTAGAAATGTTTTAAAGGATTTTCTAAACAATTGAACGTTTTGGCTGACTATATGGTATGGGTTTTGGATAAGACAAGATCTACAAAAGAGGGGCAAAAGATACCAAAGGGACATTCAACTTCATAAGTAGAAAATAAACTGACAACGCCATGGCTAAAAAAGAAAAAGACAAACAGACAAACAATAGTACACAAAACACAACATAGAAAACCAAAGACTGAGCAACACGAACCCCCCGAAAAACTGGGGGTGATCTCAGGTGCTCCGGAAAAGTAAGCAGATCCTGCTCCACATGTGGTAGCCGTCGTGTTGCTCATGTTAATACAAACCCGGTAATAAGTCTAATTCCATAGGTCAAATGTTATTAAGTCAATATTGTCAGATGACAATTAGATCATAGGAGCTATTGCCCTTAGAAGAAGATTTTTACCCTTTTTTATGTGTTGAGCAAAAATGATTTAAGTTAAAGAGAAACTATTTAACTGCAAAAATGATCACTCAGACAAGATCTACAAATAGGTCAACAAAGCAGAAATTATAAGTCCTTTTCTTATAAAGGTTTTTGCCCTTGAATGATGATTTTTACCCATTTTATCATGATAAGAGAAAGAGAGAAACTTAAAACAGAAAAAATGATCAGCAATACAATACATGTATCAACAAAAACAGAGGTATTAGTTGTGAATTACATTTTAGTTTCAATTGGTGAAAATTCACATAGATCAAAGAGAGTGACACAGTTTCTTTAGAGCCTCTAGTTATGCTATGGATTTATATTTAGGTTCCTAATACTTATGTCTGGTATGATCTTGGCCAACATTATAATGATGAACGATTTATATTATTTTATTTGGTAACTACTTGGTACATCCAACAGTAGTTTGATAAAAAGTATCCTGTGTCATTTTGTATACCTTAGATGGTACAGGTAAAGCAGAAATCAGGTCATTTTACCCTTTCAAAATGTTATTAACTTCCAAACTGTTTTTATTTGCAGTGCAGGTTTAATCATAGTTTACCCTGTGGAGCTCTTAATAAAAAATGTTGTGCAGATAAGTGCTTCAATATAAAAAAAAACTCAAATAATACTAAATTAAAATCATAGTCATTTTTACAGCGGATAACCTTGAGGGCATTTTGGTGTTATGTTGACACAGATATTTCTACCCACGTGACTTGCGTTTTTGACTGATAACCGAATGTATTTTTTTTGCAAAATAACATTCCTTATCGCTTGTTATAAATTCATTTCTTCAATAAATACTCATGAAAATATTTTTTAAGAACATAAATAAATAATATGAAAATGTTTTGTCGTGAGAAATATATATATATAAGTAAAAAAATCCTTAATATTTATACACACGTACTGAAAAATTGTGTTTGTGGATGAATATCTCTTATCGCTTGTTATATATTAATTTCACCAATACATATTCATTAGTAGGCCACCATGTACTTGCATGTACTTGCACTGCACTATCATTAGAATAGTAGAATAGAATGATGGTATAAATGGATGAAAATTTGCCGGTAGAGTTATTAAGATGATCTGCTGTATATATAACTGTTGTACAAATATTAATATAATATATAGCAACAAACCAGATTATACTGATAATAAATGATTGTCCCATGATTATATCACTACAATATAATAATTATTACGGTGAGGTTGAATTCTCTGTCATTTCTTCTTCATCCACACAGGAACTTGTCTCAGAAAAAAAATCTATGTACCTTAACCTAACTTTCAGGTATAGATATATTTTATTTTTTCTGAGACAAGTTCCTGTGACTATCAACCAGAACTTGCGGTCATCCGATGTTCAGTACTTCAGTACTTTGATTATGAATCTAATGTTAGATGTTACAAAATTTTGGAAATTATCTTATATTAAGGAATATATCTTCCTCATGCAAAGCTCTGATTCCTTGCCCGGCTTTGGCTATAACTTTTTGTCCTTTTTGGTTTATAAGCTCTTCATTTTATAGTTAGCTTTAGCTTCCAAATTATTTGGCCATGATCATCACTGAAGAGACATTTATTGTCGAAAAATTGGTACCTTCAATGTTATTAGAGTCACTTCTAAATCTTTAATTTTTCAGGTTGAAGAACAGTTTGATGGAATGTGTCCATGTTGTATGTCTGTTCAGAGCACTTCCTTTATCAGTCTACACCGTATTAGTGACATTTATGAGATATCATCTGTTTGTATGGACAGTCTTTTCACCTAAACTTTTGTATGAAGGCATGTTAACAGTTGTATTGTCTGTGATATCCTTTATTCTGTTATTGTGCAATATCATTTTATAGATGAAAAATATATGCCATTTATTAATTTTAAAGGTGAAAAATATATGCCATTTATTAATTTTAAAGGTGAAAAATATATGCCATTTATTAATTTTATAGATGAAAAATATATGCCATTTATTAATTTTATAGATGAAAAATATATGCCATTTATTAATTTTATAGATGAAAAATATATGCCATCATTTTTACCATTCTATTTATTTGTTGTTTCAATACAGTGTACGAAGTTTGCGTGCCAATAATTCTTGTATGATTTGCATAATGAGGAATCCTTTATATTCATTAATTACAGACTTTCAACTAGTGATATTTGTGGCAGGTTTTTTTCTGTAGACTATATACTGAACTACTTTTGTTACCAAAAAAGACAACATGTTGGCTTGAATTACATAATACACATGGGATCCTTAATTGGAATGTCCCACCCTCTAAAATATCAATCATATTGACAAATTACTTATTAACATCAGTCTTACATGATTAAGCAGAAAACTTTGCTACACAACCCAATACACAATTCTTGACCTCATTAATGAATACACAAATGTATAATGTTAAATGTTTTTAAATGTATATAGAAATTATAGATGTAATCATTTATCTATTTCTTTTGATCTACACTTGTAAATTATGCCTGAAAGATAAAAATGATGAACAAGATCTACTTTTTTTCAAAAGAAAAGAAAAGAAAAGAAAAGACAACAATATTAATCAAGAAATAATTCTTTCATGCCATGCTCTGCTCAATTTCACATGGGTAGGCATTATATTTGTCAGTATCTTTATACCGAGTGTTAGCGAGGTGTAAAATGTTGACAAATATAATGCCTACCCATGTTAAAATGATCATAGAGCATAGCATGATAGAATTATTTCGATTCTAATAGGACAATTTTGAATTTTTGTACTTGGATGCAGACCTATAATACATGCTCAAAAGGCAGCCATTTTGATTTGATGAACCAAAAACCTTATAGAAAATCAACAGTTTAATGATAAAAACAATGAAGATACATTTAAACTTACTTTTAGAATTACAAATGAAAGTGAACCAACGCCTGGTGAATCTGTAGTACGGTAGAGTCCCTGAAGTGGATACCTGGGGTATGCAGGGTTGTTATGATAAAGCACATAAAATGTAGAAAGTCTTATAACAACAACACTTTAGGGACTGCTGCATAAAATTTATTGATCATGGCTTTGTATCCAAAGCAAAAGAAGAACGTCATATAAGAATTTTGTAAATATACAGAAATTCAAGTAAGGTCTATATTTTAGTTGATAAATCATAGTAATAATCATATATGTAATTTATAATCAATAATTTAGGTTACATTTATCAGTGATTGGCTTGAAATCATAAACAAAACTATTAACCTGGGCATAATATATTTTTGTCTTTATTCCCTTATCAAATTTCTTTTTAACAATATTAGTTATTTGTGTATCTGAATATAAGAAGTGTTTTGTTTTCTTTTTGCAATGAAGAGTGAACCCCCCATTTTAATCAAATTTAGTTTCTTGATTTGTTTATTTTGAAAAATTACATTTTCAATGCCTTTTCCCAGAAAATATGAAATTACAAGTTGAATAGAAATACACTAGACCACCCTTTGAAAATCCCTTTCCATCCAACTTATTTATGACGTTTTAAGAGAAGATGCAAAAAATTAATTTAAATATTAAAAGAATAGGCCTAAAAATGAAATGTTCTCCATTATTATACGCTCGTTTACGGGACGTATTATGGTATACAGTTGACCGTCTGTCCCTCCGTCCGTCGTCAACATGACAGACATTAACTCAAAAAAGCTTTAACCAATATGCATGAAACTTTGGTGAATTGTTTATATTTATTGACGTGAGCTCCCTTTTGTTTTTTTATAAATTTCAAATTTACGGTTTCTGAGTTTTGGGGTTTTATTCATTAAAAAAGGGGGGATTTTCCAGTTTTCCAACAATAACTCAAGAATGCTCTCACCAACTTGCAAGAAATTTTGGTGAATTGTTTATATCTATTGACATGAGCTCCCTTTCGATTTTTATAAATTTTAGGTTTTACGTTTCCGAGTTACAGGGTTTTATTCATAAAAAAGGGTGATTTTCCAGTTTTCGGACAATAACTAATAAATGCTTTCGGCAGTTCTCATGAAACTTTGGTGAATTGTTTATATCTGTTGATGTAAGCTCCCTTAAGAATTTTATAAATTTTAGATTTTACATTTCTGAGTTATGGGGTTTTATTCATTAAAAAATGGGGGATTTTCCAGTTTTTGGACAATAACTCAAAAATGCTTGCAGCAGTTCTCATGAAACTTTGGTGAATTATTTATAGCTATTGATGTAATCTCTCTTTTGATTTTCATAAATTTCAAATATGACATTGAGAAGAAATTGAACTTTATTTGTTTATAGTCTGACAACAGATTTACTAAGTATTGCGCAACAGCACAGTGTATTGAACAAGAAATCTTTAATTGAATATCAATTCATATAACCAATTTCAAGTTCTTTGACTAAATTTATTCAGAAACCTATAATATGTGAAATATTTAATTACAATCTAAATTCAGACCTGTATCAAGCTTGAATATTGTATCCATTTTTGCTCCAACTGTTCAGGGTTGGACCTCTGCGGGCGTATCCAGCTGCGCTCAGCGAAGCAGTTTATTAATACATGCAGTAAGTTATGGAAATAAAAATTCCTGTATGCCATCCTACAACAATTCATCTTCAGTGTCATATTGATTATTTTCAAAATCAGTAAGCAATCCTGAGAGGGGAAAAATGGATTATCTATGTTTACTTACAAAATGCCCCATATACAATCTTCACAGGTTGGTTTTGGGTTCTTGTCTTCAACTTCAACTTCAATTAGGTTACTTAGTAACATCTGCAAGCAGACATCTCACAAAGCACTATTTATACACATGCATAGCAGAGCCTCAAAATTTTTAAAAGAGTAAAGGTATTTAAACTCTACAATTATGTGGAAGTTTAGCATACTCCCTTGACTGCCACCTGAAATGCGTCCAATTAATGGTTGGTTATCACTGGTGGTTGTAGTTGGTTCCATAAGATAATTGTTTGTGGAAAGAACAAGTATTTAGAAATAAGAAGATGTGGTATGAGTGCCAATGAGACAACTCTCCATCCAAGTCACAATGTGTAAAAAGTAAATAATTATCATTGGTCAAAGTACGGCCTTCAACACAGAGCCTTGGCTCACACTGAACAGCAAGCTATGAAAGGCCCCAAAATGACTAGTGTAAAACCATTCAAACAGGAAAACTAACAGTCTAATCTATATAAAAAATCGAGAAACACTTAAGAACCACATCAACAAACAACAAGTTCCTGACTTCGTTTTAACAGGTGCCAACCTTCACCCTAACCTGAAATAGTAGTGTAACATTGCAACATAGAAAGACACTATAAAATATCAATTGAAATGACTTAATTCAATCAAAAAGACATATTAACAAAAACAAGTAAACATACACTGAATGAATAAATTTGACCTATGACACAATATAAATATAATATTAAATAAAAAATTGGGGATGTAAAACAATGTCAAAAAGACAACTATAACCTTGGACAAAATGGCGTTAAATAAAATAACGTACACAGGTAAATTTCAAATATAATAATTTTGTTGTTAGTACAGAAATATTTTTTTACAAAATTAAAGAACCTTTGTGAGCACGCTCACATACCCCACGCCCCTACATTGTCACTAGACAAACAAAATCTCACCATCCTAAGTTCAAAGACTCATATAACTCTACAATAGTCAACTGATAAAAATTTTCTTGTGGATGTGCACATTAACATATTATGTCCTCAGTAACTACAAAGTTTCATGAAATTCTGTTGTGTGGTTTCAGTGGAGTTGGGATGACAAACTGTTGCAGTAGTATATTGAGGCCAATAAGTTCAAAGGGGCATAACTCCTAGAAAAAAAATTGAATTAAAATTTCCTGTCGATAGACACATCTATATAGTATGTCCTTATTATTTACAAAGTTAATGAAATTCTGTTGTGTGGTTTCAGAGGGGTTGTGATGACAAACTGTTGCAGTAGTATATTGATGCCAGTAAGTTCAAAGAGGCATAACTCCTAGAAAAAAAATTGAATCATAATTTCCTGTCGATCTACACATCTACATAGTATTTCCTTATTATCTACAAAGCTTCATGAAATTCTGTTGTGTGGTTTCAGAGGAGTTGCGATGACAAGAACAGGACTGACGGACGGACGGACAGACAGACGGACGGGTCAAAAACATTATACCCTACGCAACTTCGTTGCGTGGTGGTATTATAAATAAATTTGTTGTTCATAGTACGAGAACAGAAGTGAAAATTTATCGTCATATTAAATACTTGTCAAAGGTGGTACACATTTACATTTGTCCGAATTGTCTGAAATTTCCATGCATGGCTGTGGCGAGTTGATTTTATTTCTACCATAGTAGGGTGTTGTTGAATAGGCACGGCAATAAGGTGGTGGACTACCTAATACAAGAGGATTACATCTGATGTTTTTCGCTTGTGATCTAATGTTTCCCAATTTAGATTTTTTTACCATTTCTGTTGTGCTGTATGTTTTGATTAACAAATTTTTCCCTTTTAGTTGATTATTTTGAAAACTAGTATAGAGAGAATCTTTCAGTCGCAAAAATTATCAGCAAGATAAGATCTACTAACATTTAAAACATGGCAGAAATCATCAGTTGACTCCTTTTAAGAGTTATTGCCCATGTGAAACTATTTTTACCTATTTTTGTTAGTTTTGTTGTTGTGGCAGAGACTATGATAAATAGAAGGAAATTGTAATTAATAAATTAGGACCTACAAATAAGTCAACATTACCGAAATTGTCAATTGTCCCCTTATAGGAGTTAATATCATTGAAAGATTTTTACCAATAGTTTGTGTTTTTTGTTGTTTTTTCTCCCGGCAGAAACATTAATAGATGGACAGAAATCGTAAATAGCAAAAATGCTAAGCAAAACAAGCAGTCTGATAGTATTGCATGGCAATACATAGTCCCCTACCGGTTAAAAATTCATTGTAATGGAACGAAAATCTAACTTGATCTATATCTTGTCATGGTGTATTTAACTACATAAAAATATCAAGTCAATATCTTCAATCATGACGAAAAAAACTGTTGAAAACTGATTATTTAAGTGAATTTTTTATGTCCAAAGACTATAACTCTGCACAAAATCATCAGACCGGAACAAAATTCGAACTTGATCTGTAACTTGTCATGATAAAACTATATACTAATTGTCAAATCAATATCATCAAGAATGACAAAAAAAGTGTGGAAAACTTATTATTTTAGTGAATTTAAACTCGGCCTGGACGATGATATTCGTTAATTTTATCCCTCGCTCACACTCAGGATAAATTTGGATATCATGGCTAAGGCCATGTGTAAATTTCCAACAAATCCATGGCTTCCATGAATTATTTCTTAAATGAAATATATCCTTTATCAAAAATAGATTATTATCTAAATAAAAGAGTTCACTTCGTCCAAAATTTTTTTTAATATATAGCATTCAGAAAATTAGTTTACACAGAATCGATAACAAACAAACCTACCACTAAGTTCTTCAAACAATTTACCAAAGAAAATGG